TTCTGAGGAATCGATGGTGATATCCCCTTTATCATTTTTTATTGCATCTATTCAATTCTTCCCTCTTATTAGTCTAGCTAGAGGTCTATTTTGTTGATCTTTTCAAAAAACCAACTCCTGGATTTATTGATTGTTTGAAGGGTTATTTTTGTGTCTCTACTCCTTCAGTTCTGCTTTGATCTATTTCTTGTCTTCTTGTTTTTGAGGTTTTTTGATCTTGCTTCTCTAGCTCTTTCAATTTTGATGATAGGGTGTCGATTTTAGATCTTTCCTTGCTTCCCATGTGGGCATTTATTGTGATAAATTTCTCTCTAGATACTGCTTTAAATGTGTCCCATGGATTCTGGCTGGTACGTTGTGTCTTAGTTCCTGTTGGTTTCGAAGAACATTTTTATTTCTGCCTTCGTTTCATTGTTTATCCATTCGTCATTCAGGAGCAAGTTGTTCAGTTTCCATGTGATTGTGCGGTTTGAGTGCTTTTCTTAATCCTGAGTTCTAATTTGATTGCATGGTGGTCTGACAGACTGTTTGTTATGATTTCCGTTCTTTTTCATTTGCTGAGGAGTGATTTACTTCCAATTATGTGGTCAATTTTAGAGTAATTGTGATGTGGTGCTGAGAAGACTGTGTATTCTGTGGATTTGGGGTGGAGTGTTCTATAAATGTCTATTTGGTCTGCCTGGTCTAGATCTGCATTCAAGTCCTGGATATCCTTGTTGACTTTCTGTCTCGTTGATCTGTCCAATATTGTCAGTGGAGTGTTAGTCTCCCACAGTTATTGTGTGGGAGTCTGAGAGTCTTTGTAGGTCGTTAAGAACTTGCTTTATGTATCTGGGTGCTCCTGTGTTGGAGGAATATATATTTAGGATAGTTAGCTCTTCTTGTTGCATTGATCCTTTTACCATTATGTAATGTCCTTCTTTGTCTCTTTTGATCTTTGTTGGTTTAAAGTCTGTTTTATCAAAGACTAGGATTGCTAACCCTGCTTTTCTTTGCTCTCCATTTGCTTGGTAAATCTTCTTCCGTCCCTTTATTTTGAGTCTATGTGAGTCTGCAAATGAGATGGGTTTCTTGAATACAGCACAGCAATGGGTCTTGACTTTTTATCCAGTTTGCCAGTCTGTGTCTTTTGATTGTGGCATTTAGGCCATTTACATTCAATGTTAATATTGTTATGTTTGAATTTGATCCTGCCATTTTGTTACTGGCTGGTTGTTTTGCCCATTAGTCGACACGGTTTCTTCATTGTGTCATTGTTCTTTACCATTTGGTATGTTTTTACAATGATTGGTACTAGTTGTTCCTTTCCATGTTTAATACTTCCTTCAGGAGCTCTTGCAAGGCAGGTCTTGTAGTGACGAAATCTCTCAGCAATTGCTTGTCTGTAAAGGATTTTATTTATTTCTCCTTCACTTATGAAGCTTACTTTGGCTGGGTATGAAATTCTACGTTGAAAGTTCTTTTCTTTAAGGATGTTGAATATCGGTCTGCACTCCCTTCTAGCTTGTAAGGTTTCTGCCGACAGATCCGCTGTGTGTCTGATGGTCTTTCCTTTGTTGGTGACTCGACCCTTCTCTCTGGCTTTCCTTAGGATTTTTTCCTTCATTTCAACCCTGGTGAATCAGACAATTATGTGCCTTGAGATTGCTCTTCTTGAGGAGTACCTTTGTGGTGGTCTCTGTATTTCCTGGATTTGAATGTTGGCCTGCCTTGTTAGGTTGGGGAAGTTCTCCTGGATAATATCCTGAAGAGTGTTTTTCAGCTTGGATTCATTCTCCCCGTCACATTCAGGTAAACTGATCAAGCATAGATTAGGTCTTTTCACGTAATCCCATAGTTCTTGGAGGCTTTATTTCTTTTCACTCTTTTTTTCTCTAATCTTGCCTTGTTTTATTTCATTGATTTGATCTTCAATTTCTGATATCTTTTCTTCTGCTTGATCAATTCAGCTGTTGAAATTTGTGTATGCCTCGCAAAGTTCTCATGCTGTGTTTTTCAGCTCCATCAAGTCATTTATGTTCTTCTCTAAGCTGGTTATTCTAGTTAGCTTTTTGTCTAACCTTTTTTCAAGGTTCTTAGTTTTCTTACATTGGGTTAGAACATGGTCTTTTAACTCAGAGTAAGTTTGTTATTACCCACCTTCTGAAGCCTGCTTCTGTCAATTCATCAAACTCATTCTCTGTCTTGTTTTGTTCCCTTGATGGTGAGGAGTTGTGATATCTGGGAGGAGAAGAGGTATTCTGGTCTTTGATGGTTTCATCCTTTTTGCACTGGTTTCTTCCCATCTTCATGGATTTATCTCCCTTTGATCTTTGAAGTTGGTGATTTTGGGAGGAATCTGAGTGGACATCCTTTCTGTCAAGGTTGGAGCTGTATCTTTTTTGGCCTGTAGTGGCGCTGCTGGGCTGCCTCAGATTCAGTCAGGTTGCTGGGTGGGTGGTCTTCCCCGGGAGTTTGTTCATGCAGGTGAGATTAGCCCTGCCTTCCCAGTGGCATCTCTCAGTCTTCCCAGTTGGCGTCAAACTGGTGTATTCGCTGCGAAGCTTTCTAGCGTGTGGGCTCTAGTTTGAGTTTTGTGAGGGTGGAACCTGCCAGGCCTATGGCCTGTTTTGCTTTCAACTCTGCCTCTTTCTGTGGGATGGATCCATCCTGCTGGTGTTAGTCCATACTTCTGCCCAGGTCCACTCTGAAAACTTGCAGTACCGGGCAGGAGCCATCACTCAGATTTGTATGGATAACCCACAGTGCCCCACAGTCCAGCGGGGCTCTTGTGGACCATGGGTTGCAGGAGGGATGAGGGAAGCACAGGATCCAAATTGGAGCACCAAGTGGGTGAAGTCACTGACCCTCCGAGCTGGCTGCACGTTCCAGGTGGGGACACGCCCTGCCCTGTCTCAGTTCTCCCTCCCTGGGCTGCTCTTGCCCTGCTTTGGCTCACCCTTTCATGGGCTATTTTCAGTGTCCTACCAATCCCACCGAATCAAACCTAGCACCTCGCTTGGAATCATGAAGTCCTCTAACCCTCTGCATCTCATTTGCTGGGAGTTGCATTCCAGTGTTGCCTCCTCTTGGCCATCTTGGCACCCCAAAACTTTCATTTTTAAAAACTGTGAATGTTATCTCTGCTGGGCCTTGCTCCATCGAACCCTAGCATGAAGACCAGTGGTATAGAATAATTCAAACTCATGGCAATAGCGGTTCCAAATGCTAGATTTTTACTTACCTGTATAAACTTTTTTTTTTTTGAGATACATCTCACTGTGTTGCCCAGGCTAGAATGTAGTACCTCAGTCTTGGCTCACTGCTGCCTTGACCTCTCCACACTCAGGTAATCCTCCCACCTCAGTCTCTCAAGTAGCTGGGACTATAGGTGCATGTCACCACAGCTGGCTAATTTTTGTATTTTTAGTAGATACGGGGTTTCACCATGTTGCTCAGACTGGGCTCAAACTCCTAGACTCAAGTGATCCACTCACCTTGGCCTCCCAAAGCGCTAGGATTACAGGGGTCGGCCACCACTTCCGGCCCTACCTGTATAATGTTTTAAGTGTCTTAAGTTTTGTGCTGCTGTAACAGAATACCTTAGACTGCATAATTTATAATGAGCAGAAATGTACTAACAACCTGGAGGCTGGAAAGTCTAACTTCAACATGCCAGCCTCTGTGAGGGCCTTTATGCTGCATCATCACACGGCAGAAGGTGAAAGGGTGAGGGGGCCACACTGGCCCTTGTGTACACTAATCCCACCCATGGGAGCGGAGCCCTCATAGCCTAATCACCTCTTAAGGGCCCCACCTCTTAATACTATTACAATGACAAGTAAATTTCAACATGAGTTTTGGAAGGGACAGACATTCAGACCATAGCACTAAAATGAATGTCAGGGAAAGTAACACTCAAGATCTCTATTAGGCCATTCTTGCATTGCTGTAAATACCTGAGACAGGGTAAGTTATAAAGGAAAGAGGTTTCATTGGCTCTACAGACTGTATGGGAAGCACAGTGGCATCTGCTTCTGGGGAGGCTTCAGGGAGCTTTTACTCATGGTGTGGAAGGTGAAGCAGGAGCAGGTACATCATGTGTGAAAGCAGGAATGGGCATAAAACAATTACAGTCTTATGTAAACTCAAGAGTGAGAGCTCACATAATGGTCCAAGCCATTGATGAGGGATCCATCCCCATAACCCACACCCCTCCCACCAGGCCCCACCTCCAGCACTGGGGATTATGTTTCAACATGAGATTCAAGCAGGGTCACACATCCAAACTGTTTCACATACAAGGAAAGAGAAGATAAAGTACTAATACCTGTACTAGAGAAAAGCAGTTCTCTAAGTATGTCTCAGGAATGCTCCCATGACTTTTAATTGACAATGCTATTTCTATGACCACGTTGGCTCCCAGGTTTTTAAATTTATTAAATGTCTGCCCTCCCATATATGGCAATATTAATTACTTGAGACATTTTTTTTCTTTGTTAAAAAATTAATTTGTTGCAGCTTTTGAGAATTTCAAAAGCTGGGAAGATTGTTTAGTGTTACAAGAGCAGGTGATGCAAAGGGCTGAAGTGAGTAACCTGGGAGGGACAGAGGACAGCCCTCCTCCATGACCGAGTGACAGGATATCACTTTGTCACCCAGGCTGGAATGCAGTGGCACGATCTCGACTCACTGCAACCTCTGCCCCAGGGTTTAAGCAGTTTCCTGCCTCAGCCTCCCAAGTAGCTGGGATTACAGGCACGCATTCCCACACTTGGCTAATTTTTGTACATTTTGGTAGAGACAGGATTTCACCATGTTGGTCAGGCTAATTGAACTCCTGACCAAAAGTGATCCGCCCACCTCAGCCTCCCAAAGTGCTGGGATTACAGGTGTGAGCTACCACACCCAGCCTCATCTCTGCTTCTAATAGTCAAGGACCATCCTTCACATAGCAAAGGCTAACAATTGCATGGGTGGAGAACCTGCCCCATCAACTTTGTTTTCCATGTATTCACCAGGTATCACCCACACATCATCATCCAGTGGGCACCGGAGAGCAGAGACAGCATGCGCACACAGTCCTGTCCTCCCCACCCAGAGGCACGGTCAGCCTAAGGTATGACAGCTTAAAATTCTACGTACTTCACCTCAAGGGAATTAACTGTAAAATAGGACAGCAGAGTGAACCCTGAGAGATGGTCTTCTATAAAATTTCTCCACAACTGACAAAATTTTCTTTTTTTCCCATGGTTTTTCCCATTCATTACCTATTAATGAAGATTTGTTGTTTTAAAGGGTAATCATTTAAAGTAAGGCTTTTTTTTTTTTAACAGAATAGGTAATGGTGATTATTAGGTCTATTTGGAGCCATCTTGTATTAACCTATATATTAAATGAACTATGAGATACAATTTTTCTTACAGATCAAGGACGACCTCCCCGGAAGTTCCTTAACCAAAATACAGTAGTCCCCTTTTATCCACAGTTTTACTTTCTGCAGTTTCAGTTACCCAAGGTAAATTATGGTTCAAAAATATTAAATGGAAAGTTTCACAAATAATTCATAAGTTTTAAATTGCAAACCATTCTGAGTAGTGTAATAAAATTTTGTACATTCCAGCTCTGTCCTGCCTGGGATGAATATTATCCCTTTGTTCAGTGTATCCACACTGTCTACACTACTCGCCCATTAGATTGACTGTTATGGACTGTGCTTGTGTTCAACCAACCTTTCTTTTACTTAATAATGGACCCAAAGTGCAAGAGTAGTGAGGCTGGAATTCAGATAGGCCAAAGACAACCCGTAAAATGCGTCAAGTGAAAAGGTGAAAGTTTTCAACTTAACAAGGAAAGAAAAAAAATTTTACACTGAGGTTGTGAAGCTCGACTGTAAGAATGAATCTTCAATCCATGAAACTGTAAAGAAAGGAAAAGAAAGTCATGCATAATATATATGGGCTTTGTACATCTTCAGTTTCAGGCACCCACTGGAGGCCTTGGGACATATCCCCCACCCTTACCAGGGACTAGTGTACTAGAAACTGAGAATGAGGGAGCATTTGAAAGTACCTAATTAAAAACTTGAAAGAGCAATGTTGCTCTCTACTGGCATTTCTTGTGTTTACTTGTTCAATTCAGTTTTATGAAGATGGCCAAATTGACATATCCACAAATAGACAAATAGAAGCTTAAGGGATATGGTAGCAAATTTTAACAGTTGAATGTAGTGGCTGTGAAAACAACCAGCACATATTAGAATCAACCTAGAGAGAGGTCCCTTCGTCACCCAGGCTGGAGTGCAGTGGCATGATCTCAGCTCACTGCAACCTCCACCTCCCCGGGTTTAAGGGATTCTCCTACCTCAGCTTCCTGAGTAGCTGGGATTACAGGTGTGTGCCATCATACCCAGCTAATTTTTGTATGTTTTTAGTAGAGACAGGGTTTCACCATGTTGGCAGGCTAGTTTTTGTTGTTGTTTTGTTTTGTTTTGTTTTGTTTTGAGACAGAGTTTCGCTGTTGTTACCCAGACTGGAGTGCAATGGCACAATCTCAGCTCACCACAACCTCCGCCTCCTGGGTTCAAGCAATTCTCCTGCCTCAGCCTCCCAAGTAGCTGGGACTACAGGCACACACCACCATGCCCAGCTAATTTTTGTATTTTTAGTAGAGACGGGGTTTCACCTTGTTAACCAGGATGGTCTCAATCTCTTGGCCTTAGGATCCACCCGCCTCAGCCTCCCAAAGTGCTGGGATTACAGGCGTGAGCCACCACGGCCAGCTTTTTTTTTTCCTCAGTCTTTCGAGGGATTCTGAGCTCTCCATAGAATGCCCAATGAATCCCTCCCACTAAACTAATCTTCCTCATTTGTCTTACAGGAAGCCCAGGGGAGAGGGCAAAAAGTGTCGGAAGGTGTACGGGATGGAGAACCGAGACATGTGGTGTACCGCCTGCCGCTGGAAGAAGGCCTGCCAGAGGTTCCTCGACTGAGAGACCCCCAGGCAGAAGGGCTCTGAGCCCTGAGCCGCTCCTGGCCTGCTGCTGTAGGTGTTGGAAAGAGCTTTTCCTGCTGAATACAACACAGTCGAAGCCAGGAAAACCTTTTCAGGAACCTTGGAGGAATAAGAGCAAAAACAAAAAAAATTTTTTTTAAGTCACCGCCTATGACAGAAGAAAGTTGCTCTTACTGAGAACCCAGTCTGGAGCAGCTATAACTGGTTTTTTTTTCCTTCAGAAGAAAAGTCAACTTTTTTTGCTGTATGTCTAGACTGAAAACTGTGGACTTCTGTAGCAATTGAACCAACAAAGCCCATTTTACCTAGAAAGTAGGCATATTTTGATAAGCTTTCTGAATTATGCCATTTCCAAGATTTTTTTGACACTTAAAAAACCAGCTACAGGTTATTAAGTAGCATTTGTACAAAAAACAATACCTACTTTTATTGTGAATAATCTTTTCCCTGTTTTTCCATTTGACTTCTAAGCGCAGTATACATCGGGATGTGTTGCAAGAAAGCGCAGCACTCTGGACACCTTTTCTATGTCTTTTTGTTTTTAAGAATGGCCCCAGCTGAACCATGGTGGAGCTATTAGCTTGCAGGGCCCCAGATGGCATAAATTTGAGAAGCAATTATCCATGGAAATCACCAGCAGACTTCGGCCCCACGCTGAGTTCAGGAAGTCCAGCTGTCACTGTTGGGAAACATCTAGGAGTCTTCCTTGGATCCGTAAGAAGCTCTTCCCTAGAGGCTGCACAGCTCACTCTACTGTCTGCCTGCCTCAACTCAGTCAAGAACTGGCACCTGCAGCCATCTGGGTAAGCCCTGATGCTTCTTTCAGGGATGTGCCACAGATGACAGCTTAGCGCGATTTGTTACTACTTGTCTGTCAAGATTGTAGCCAGGTAAGGGTCATTTTCCTTCTCTCCAAACGCCACCACTGACTGATTTCAGAAGAGGCAGTGAACTCCAAACTGTCCCAGCAGGTTTGCTTTAGACAACAAAGCACAGCCCACTTGGCCCCACCTGATCAGAAAGTCATGTTAGGCTGACAGACCACTTCCATTCTGAGTGCACTTCTACAGGTTTTATGCTTTAGCATGTCTGGGAGGTGAGTTAATTAACAACATAAGCATTATATGGGTAAATGGAAGGTCCAAATCTTAATTTTCTTATAAAAATATTGGAGCTATTCATTTAAGAATTCGCTCAAAGGGGAACATACAGAACACCAAAAGGAGAATGCATGTTGGTATAGGAATTTCTCAGTTTAGTAGGGCAAGGGCTTGCACTACGTTCCATTTACTGGGCTTTGTAATTTGCTTGCTTGCTTGTTTGGGAGGTAGTGGTGTAAGGAGATGGAAGTCATTGCCAAGCCCTATAAATAAGCTCATTTTCTGTCTACCCTACTCTTGATTGCCCAGCTAAAGAGTTATTTCTCCTATACCTATGCAAAGTAGGAAGAGCACCTTATAGGAAGCACTGTACAGAGAGAGGGGACATGGGATCTGCCATAGGAATGTTAAATGAAATTGCACAGAGGAGAGTTTAATATATGTCTAAAGATTGTACATACACTTTTTTAAGAGTAGATAGAAGTCATCTAGTAATGAGATATTCTTTTTATATATAAGCAAAGAAAGTATAAGAAGGTTCTACAGCGCGACATCCAGTCTGTGCATTCACTTATTATGGTATTTTTCTTTTTTAAACTCTCATCTTTTTTTTTTTAAGAAATTATTCCTTGGAAGAGATCCTGTTTTTTTTTCTTAAAAACATTTAAGATTAAAAGAGCTTCATCTAATTTTGCATCTTGATTGCCAATCAGTACTACTAGTTACAGCACCAGCAATACTGTATGTTTTAGACTTACAAGGTCAGCCAGGAAATGGCATTTTTTTAAAACACAGAAATGTGTTTGTTTCTTCTACTCTCATGTCCTTTCTTCTCCTGTGGTGTCCTGTCACCTCCCCTGCAAGACCACTGATGTAAGATGATGCTCTGGCCTGGTCCAGGAAGCCCTGAGTGATGGGCAGATTGCCCAGTGGCCTAAATGACAGGGTACATTTTCTCTTCAGCAAAGCTCCCTGGCCCATGATTATTGGACTGTTACTAATAGAAAAAGATTCAAGTCATGGAGTATAAAATCCATCCCCCATCCCAGAACTTTGAAACCAAGGAGGGAGAGATCTTTGCTTTGGAACAGTCCTGGAGCAAAGGCTTGTGGCTTTTACCTCCAAATATATACCCCATAAGTAGAGCTGAGCCCAGCTCAGTCCTTACCTGGTGTTCAGCTAGTACACAGGTATAAGCAGAACTATAGAGCTGAATGTAGCTTCCCTGGGATCGCTTCTCCTTTCTAAAGCCCTTTTCACAAAGACAGCTTCATATCTCCTGCCCAAGTTGGGGCTCCTTTCTGCCTGCCAGCCCAGGGCTCTGTGTACTTTCTTTTCTGGCTCCAGGTGCACACAGACCCTCAGTACCTTCCTGGACACAGACACATATTCCCTGGACCAAGGCGTGAAATAACTAGTAGACCACCAAGCCACATGTGGCTGGCCTTGAAGAAAAGGTATTATACTCCTTACAGGTCACCCAGAAAACTATAAATTCTAATACACACTGCTGAACATGCAATTTAGTTAGGATTTTTTTTTACATGTAGCATTATTTTGTTATATTTTGGAACTAAATGAAGTGCCAAATTAGCCAGACATTCATTTGATGCCATCTCTGAGGAACCAAGTTCTCTGTGTTCTTTTGGCTGGGAAAAGGGGAAGGGCTGGACAGAGTGTTCCCACAGCAGGCTGGCGGTGGAACTGGAGCCCCAGCCACTGCAGGGAGCTCAGAGACCTGTCAAGCAAAAGGCAACACAATAGATTCTGGTCCCTAAATATTTCTAAGTAAGGCATGATGTAGCCTTTTGATATTTTTTTCCTGCTTTGACACCCCTGCCTTCAGAAAACGTTTCTCATCTCTCTCCAAAGAAGTCATTTCGTAGTGACTGACAGGACATTCTCCAGAGAGCGACAAAGCAGAGTGGCCAGCAGGCAGTGGTGTTAAGCCTTGGGCCTTCCCAGAAGATGCGTGCTGCATAGGTGGAGGCAGTGAACAACCTGGAGAAAAGACACGGGTAGCCAGGGAGTCAGGGAGGAAGTACAAGAGGCTCATGGACACCTGGCTCCCACTCATCTTCTTGGTGCTGATCAGCTAGTGGTCACTGTCACTGAGTACCTCCCAAGGATCTTCCATTTTCTCCTCTGGGAGCAGCTGCCTGAAGCAAGGGGAGAATGACCTGAAGGAAAGTACCTCCAGCCATGAGTGCAGGGCTGCTGTGCCCAGCCCAAGTGGGCATCTCTAGCAGACACGGACTTCTCTTCACCTCACTAGCTGAAAAGTGTCCTCCCTTGGTTGGCAAAAGCCAGTCAGGATAAAAGCCGTGGGTTTCTGAGCAAGAATGTGTGCGCTTAGCTGCAAAGTGCCCATCAGCAGCTCCAGGCACCAACAAGGTGCCCTTTTCTTAGACAATTCCTCACCCAAACATAACCATGTTGCAGATGCAAATTTTTAATAGAGAATGACACAATTCTTCACCTTTCTAAAAACTTTTCAAAGAGATAGTCACGTGTGTATATGTTGCAAAAGATTTTTGAAACTGAAATGTCCTCCATTAAATCTCAAGATCACTCAAGTTTCTTAAGTCTGCTGCTTCTGGTGTCACACTAAGCCACACTTTTGAAAGCAGCCCTGGGTTCTGAATTAGCTGGCACTGCTGAATCCACATCCCTGCTTCATCAGACTCCAAAGCGCAAAGGTTCAGAGAAAAGTGGCCAGAATTGTACATAGGAGAATCCCTTGAGAATAGTAGCAAAAGACTGTAAATAATATTCATTTCCTCAGGGAAAAATAAAGGGCATGCAAAAAATAGGTCTGGAGACTCCTAAAACTAGGAAGAATTTTGTTATCACTAAAGTCTTTTCTAGTCAGAACCATTTTTTTTTTTTCAAATGAACATGGTATCATTTCAAGACAGATTTATGTGAACTGAGCAGTACTGACATTTGTGAGGCATGGGGGAGTGCCCTGGGAAAATGAGCTGTTTCGCTTGTAGCTGACCTATAGCCTAAGGCTAACATTTGAACTACAGGTGCAATGCCTGGGGGGTATTCATAGACTCATGTAAGGCTTTTTCTGAATGTAATTGTGAATACAAAGCCTTGCTGATCCTTTTTATTATTACCCATTGGGTGACTGTTTATTAGCTATCAGCAGAATTCTGTAAGTGAAAGCAAGCCCTGAGCAATGTACATTTTGCTTTAATAGCATGTTAGCAAACAAACTTCCATGGACTCTTGTGGACAAGGTGCTGCTTTTTCTCATGACCCTGTAGAATTGCTATCGACCACTTCTTCTGTAGCATTGACCTGTGTGAACTCGGGGAAGAATTTGTGCATACAAATGAGTGGAAACAGAGCAGGATTCATGAATATGAATGAGATGCGGATCATTTTGGAGAATGCCCTGGGCACACGGGTCAACTGGAAATTTCATTTCTCTAAGTAGCCCTGCCGGCGGCACAGACTGTCCCTGTTCCCCCTACCTGTGGGGATTCCTCCATAGTGGAACTGTTTCTTGTGTCTTTTTTCCATTGTAACTAGCCAAACCTGAAGTCAGTAAATAAAATGAGATTAGCACTTTTAGGTACCAGTTGTATCACTGAGTAATGCACATCAATAGAGCAAGAAGGATAAAATGTATTTAAGACCAACTGGTTTGCTTATTATGACTGACTTTGAAAAAGCCCGTATCCAATGATATACATGCTTTAAAAGGTATATCTATTATAGGACCAGGAACCAAAATGGGAATTTTACTTCTGGTCCTGTTTTGTAAATAGTTCCTTTTTTTGAAGACAATCTCATGTTTTATAACTTTTGTTGTGGGTCTGAGAATCACAATGGTAATATGTTATGGCAAAATGTAATCTTTAAATACAAAAACAATTATAATTTAATTTTCCAAATAAAACAAGAAATATACTGGTTAGGCTTCTACAGTTCTAAGAGACATGACACTTTGGTCATAAGCATCAGTACTCAACTTCTCAAGTTAACTGGAAATATTTTACAAGATGCAGTGTTTTGTAATCACAGAGAACACAGACATTTTGTGAGAAATGACCTTGGTTTTATACAATGTAGCTTATTTTTTAAAATATAGTATTTTACCAGACAGGAAGTGTTAATATTATAAGTAATTCCTGCTCACCAAAGGGCTATGTCTCTTTTAAGCAAATGTTTTGATGCATATCTTCTTAATTAACCCTCTGCAGCAAGGGTAGAAATACAGATCAGATGGAATGGGTATAAGAGAATCAAGATAGCAGCAGCTACTCCTTTTATCATTACTAATGTGTTTGCAAAGTATGGAAAAAGATGCCTGAAGTGTCATTTTATATATTTTAAGTCTAAAAAAATGGTAACAGATATGCTTATAGGCCATGGGAGAAATATTCTTATAAATTTTTTAGTGTAAAATGATAAATTCTGTGTCACAAACACAAGTTTACCACTTGACCTACCAGAATCACAAATACTTGCATTTAACTAGCAAGTATCATTCGGTGGAAATTTCTAAATTCACAGTAGATAGGCCCAAAGATAGAATTCTTAGGTGATCAGCAGTGTTTAAAATAATTTTGTCCTCAGCACTAACTATAACTGTAATTTCCTCATAAGAACAAGTGCTTCCAAAATATAGTGGAGGGAAAAAAGAAAAAATAAATTAAATTAAATAAATAAATAAAAACAAGTGCTTGATTCTTCACTGTAAGAACTAGCAGGCACACGAGGTTGTGTTCAGAAAGTGACTGTGTTTCCAAGAACCAGGAAACAGAGGGGAGCTGTGGAGAGTTTATTAAAACTGCACAAATAATTCAGAGCTTTGCCAAAACCATTTCATAATGCCCTATGGTTTTTTCAAGCCCACCCACTGTTAAAACAAGAAAGCATCTTTTCTTTCTAAGATTTTAGTAATCCAAAAGCTAGCCTAATTAGCCAAGGATGCAGATAACATCGAAAGCAAAGCTGAGATAGAACAGCCATACACCCCCTGGGCAGCTCTTATGATGTGGTCAGAAGGTCACTCAGACCTTGGTTTCAAATGGGCTTTAGAATCTGCACACGTGAGGACGAGAAACGCACAGAGTTTGGGAAAACTGTGCACAGCCCTGGCTCCTGGTCTTTGAGATGAGGCGTCCTGCAAATCTCTGTTTTCACTCCTTGGAATGTCTCCATTATTAGCATTAAAGTCCCCAAGCAGTTTTTATTGCTGTACGGTTTTGAACCAAATGAGTCTCATTTCCTCCTTAAATAGAAGATTCGTAATTCTAAATAGGAGAGGTTGTAAATATCAGTGCCTCAGAAGGACCAGGCAAGTTCTGTAAATGATTGATGTGGATCAGGCAAAGAGGAACACAAGAATGGTGGGGACCGCATTGAACTGGAGAACACATGCCCTCTTTGATGGGGTGCCCACACTCAGCTCTAGACAATCAGAACCATGCAGAAATCAGGCCCAGGGCTGCTAGATCATCTGACTTGGAAATATGATATTACCTGACATAGAAGTGTTGACAGCTAATTCAAATTCTTGGCCAACACTGTGCAGACCAAAGAAAAGCTGTACACGGGCAGGTGCAGCCTGCAGCCCCTAGTTTCAACTATTGGGGAAAGTGGATTTCACATTCCATGGTTGTCAGGTTAGGTTCAGCCATCAGCCCCACAAACTGGCATGTTGGCACTATCTGGGCAACTAAAATTAAGAGGGGAAAGAGGTCATGTCTCCCCAGAAATCATTCTGATGGCAAATTTGAATATAGATATGCTGAGTTATCCAGCTCTCTCTCTCTCTGCCTCCTTTTGGCATGCCCAGGCTGTGCCCCCCAGAGCATCAAATCACTGTTTTCTTAATTTTCTGTTTTCTACCGTGGCCACTGTGATGAGGGGCTGGCAAAGAGCAGCCTTGTGCCTTCTGAGAAGGCGGCCAGGAGCCTCTGAAGCTTGACACGAGCACACGTTGCCTCGTTGTGCCAAAGCCCTCTGCCAGCCTCCCCACGCTCCTTCCCTCTCCATCCTGCCTCATGAGTCTTTGTTCCCGTGTAACATTACCACTGCTTCACCTCTGATACAGCGAAAAGCCTTGCTTCAGAACTGGTAGGCACTTAGGTTATTTTGGAGTGTCCACTAACCTCAAAAGGAGGTTTTTCCACATACAAAACCCTAGCATCTTCGAAGGCAAAAGCAAAATGAGAATAAATGTGTCATGAAAAAAATTAGAAGTTTCTTCCTTCATTTAGATGGACTAAGTTACATTAAACTGTGTCTTACATCGGAGCCCTGATGGTATTGGGATAATCACTGACCCTTTCACAACACCGTTTCATTTGATCCTTGTAAGAACCCAGTGTAGAATAGGAATAGTTAGATTCACCACTACCCACCTCCGAGGCCAACCCAGAATAGTCTTGAACCTGAATCAGCCTCAATATTGATTGCAAGGAAGAGGGAAAGGGCTCATTAAAGGCCTGGCTCAGACCTTAGTCTTCCAGACTGACTAGGGACTTAAGAAGACCCAGGGACCCCACCATGTTCTCAACCCGTCTTTTCAGTTCAGGCCTTTCAGCAGAGACATGAATAGCCCAGCCGTTACTTAATTCATGTTGCCAAGTGCAAACTGATTTATCCCCAAATGAATCCCTTTACTGTAACGAATCCCTAATTCCTAAATTCCAACCAATTTGATAGTTAATTATAGAAGCTTATTAGCTAAATGTATGTTCTGAGTAAAAATTTTGACTCCTTGGGGAAAATTTCTTTTGCTGCTAGCATACAATATTTGCTATGTATATAAACTTAAGTCAATGCCAGAAATTTTTTAACCAGCTCACATTTATAATCTGTAATGATCAAATCAAAACATACTGTAAACTCAGTTGGAAATGCCTGGTAATATGGTTAAGTTGTGTTTAAATGTGAATGCAATTTACATGACATTGGCAATGCCTGAGACTTCTTTCATTGTGAATGATTAAAAGGCAGTCCAATATACGAATGGCTTTCATCTTACCCATCTCCCATTGATTTACTAAGTATAACATCTTGAGTTTAGAGTAAAGTCATTCACAGGGAGTTTAGTCGTGGAGCTAGAAGGAACCTCAAAAAAACCGTTTTGGCCAGACTTCCATGTCATGAACAGGCTTTTTGATGAATGATACTTATTATTTGTTTCTAAAATAATGCAGTGTTGGAGAAGGAAACAGTCTAGTGCTTTCCTCTTCTGATGGAAGAGAATCAGCACCATTGCTATAATAGGAACAGGATATAAAAAGACCCATGAAGAAAGAAAGAGGAAGAAAGCTATGGTTCCAAAAGCAGGTACCGTAGGTTTTGAAAGAAGGTAGTGATGGTGATTAAACTGTAGTCCTTGTTTTCTAAAATGTTCTTTCATGTTAGGCACCATCCACATAGTTATTAACCACCGACTTCCAAAGAGAAGATCCCCTTGATTTATATGTGTTGTGAAAATACTAAAAATTAATTCTCAAGTCTAATTAACTATTACATTCTCTTACTAGGGCTATTTCCCTTAATTTTTAATTCAGAAAATTAATCAGTTGACCAGGTGCAGTGGCTCATGTCTATCATCCTAGTACTTTGGGAGGCCAACGCAGGTGGATCACTTGAGGTCAGTAGTTTGAGACCAGCCTGGCCAATAGGCAAAGAAAGAGTGAAAACAAGAAAAAACAGTGAAACCTTGTCTCTACTAAAAATACAAAAATTAGTCGGGTGTGGTGGTGCACACCTGTAATTCCAGCTATGCGGGAGGCTGAGGCAGGAGAATCCCTTGAACCCGGGAGGCAGAGGTTGCAGTGAGCCAAGATTGTGCCACTGCACCTGGGGGACAGAGTGAGACTATCAGTAAAGAAGGAAATGTCCTTTAAACAAACAAAAACAAACATGCCTGTCTGTTTCTTCTGAAGTCTCTCTACATCCTTAAGAGGAAAACCAGCACTCTAGGGAAGAAACTGAGCTTTACAAGAGAATAGTCCCCATTCTAGCTACCAGTCTTGCTTTCTCCCATTTTGGCAACCCCCAATGAATTTGCTACTGAAAAGGTTACTCTCCCCTTTGCCCTCATCTCCCTGAGCTAGAGGCCAGACTGTTGTTAATGGTTTTCAATTCCAAAGCCCCTGATGGACATTCTTGTTTCTGTGCTACTGCTTTCTCTCTCTTAAAGTGCAACGGGATAAATACTACTATGACTGGGATATTAGGCTCAGTGTGGCTATCCCCTTCCTTCAGGGGAAAAATTCCATCTGTCTGAACCGTTTTAGGTGATCATGAGTAGAGCAGCTTAGTCAGCAGCCAGCCAGCCACACTCATCACAAAAGATTTGTTCAAACTCACTGTAAAGAATGACAAGACAGACAGCTAATCCTTTCACTGTGCCTCGAAGCTCCCCTGTGCAAGTCACCAACCCTACCAGTCCCTTTCATATGCGAGGCTAACAGAGTGATCAGAACCACCTTAGGAGGGGACAGAGGGCAGAGCAAGAGGGCTCCACGTTTAATTACTCCAGGCTCTGACTTCTGCCCACAATTACAGAGCATGAAGGCAGAATTGGCCTTTAGTATGTGAAAAGGAAGTGATTCCTACAGGGTATCATTGTTATAGTTTCATATTTATGGAAAGAGAAAAGGACTCCAATTCACTCATGTTGTTAAGGGCTTGTCCCTCACTCCACTGGAGCCCCCTTTCTATGTTTTGGGCACAGATGGCTGGGACCAAGAGGAGGGAGGAAGAGCTCTTAGGGCCAGCAGCTGCCAGAGTGTGAATTACCCCTCAGGGATCTACAGCAGAGTTTAATGATAAACTACCCACACACCCCCAGAAAAGATTGAGGAGCAATGCATAACTTTGCAGATTACAAACCCTTGTTTTACTTTTTAGACCTTTTTTCCATACTCTGCTTCATTGGAACTCAATGGCTGTGATGTGACCAACACCTGTGATGATAGCAAAGCCCCTCCTTCCACAGTCTCCTGACTGTCGGGGACCTCCTTGGTCATTGATAGAAAGCTTTAGAAAACACTTAGATTTTTAGGGAAGAACTAAAAAGTCCCCAAAACATACTAGTCCATGACTTCAATAACTGAAAATGTCCTCGGTGTAAACTAACCCAGGAATCTGGATCATACATGTTTAAAAAAAATCCCATGAATCAATATTTTCCTATAACACACCCTAAAATTCCTATTTTTGTAATTAATGGTTGAACAGTGATCAGCCATTTAAACATAGGCTCTCTGGAATAACCAGACGCTAGAATAGTTTCCAAAGTGTTTTGTGTATCAAAATCCTATATACTTAGAAGAAGAACTCAGGATAAGAAAAAAATCGCTAGGTCCCAAAGTTCATGACTGTCATCAGATGCAACTGCGAGTGGCCTACGGTCATTTTTTCAAATGAGAAGGCTGGAGAGAGAGAACAACAGTAATCACAAAACCTCTGCTGCCCTTAGTCCATGACAATGTTTAAGGAAACTTTTTAAAATTAAGCCATCTTTTGAATTGTTTTCTATACCAAATCTAAAATATTAAAATGAAATTATTAAATATTTAAAATGGGGTATTTAGTGGAAATGCAATCAGTAGACAGCATTGCTTTTTAGTGCCTGCTGAACAAGGAGAAAGAATGAAGAGAAAACAGCTGTCCTACCTGTGTGACACTCGTGTGAAAATGACAGGTATTCACAGGTCATTGAGCACTAACTCAGAAGCTAGGCGGCAATGCCATCCAATGGTTAGAGATCTTTTGAAATATAATCTTACCACCATTCGGAGGTAAGTACTTGCTTACAAAGGTCTTTAATATTAGTAAATGAATGTATAAAATTATAAACTATGCATTTTCAAAGAGTAACATGTATTTTATATTAAATCCAAGTAAATTTTTTTTCATAGCTGCCTACCACAACTGCAAATTATTCAAAATAAACTTGGATACATATCCTTATAGGGATATGGGACACCCATCCATATTCTCCTACTTGATGTTTTTAAAGATTGAAACTTTTAAACATCAGGCTCTAAGAAATTCCATCAAGATGAATAAATGGGGAATGGTTTTTTACTTCTTAAGCATAAATGGGAAATGTTGGCTGTTAAAAAATGTGCCCAGTTCTTTAAAGGTGGATGTTCTAGTAACACTGGATTAACAAGCAAGCAAAACTGCATGAAGTGAACGAATATTTCATTGTATAAATATAGCACAGGTTTTATCTGTTGGATTTAATTCTAAATCTAAGAAAAAAATGTTCTTCAAGAGGTTTCAGTTATAGTTTCAAATAACAAAATATGAAAATATTGTTCAGCAAAGCAAATAATTGATCTTTTTTCAAAATTACTTATATTTTGGAAAGTCTATATAGAATATACACAAATTTCTTCAGCCCTCTTGATTTCATATTTTCATGAAACCTTTTCCCCTAATAATTTGTCTTTACTATTTAATCAGTGCTTTACTATATTACTCCACATGAAAAAATATCCTTTCCTTCATCTGACAATGTGGAAAAAAAGAACTCCATTTCTCTGCCATTCTGGTTCTCTTCAATGTCCATTGAGAAAGTTTCTCAACTGTTTGTAAAATGCGGGGAAAAAATGCATTTCTAAACCTGGTACTTAAGGTTATACTGGATTGTTTGCTACCTAATTAGAAGTTATTAGGGGAGGGGCAATGTATCTTTTTATATGATTTTTAGCCAAATCTAGATGTTCTGATACACATTTCTGAATACCTGTCTGACTGTAAATACAGCCTGCGGAGGTTCAGGTTGATAAACCTTTTACCTGACTGTTCCTCAGCCATGCTCCTTGCCAGCTTCTGGCACATTGTACATAGATTTGTCAAATGTTTAAATGATGTTGTTTTTCTAAATGCTGTTCTCTACAACAATTTTTTAATTTCTTTTGCTGTCCATTGTTTTGGACTTTGTGTGTTCGTTTAAAAAAAAATTCCTAAATATTTAACACCAGGAAAAATATTTTTAAATAAACTGGTGCTAATTGAAACAGAAGGAAATTTTCATATTGAAGATGTACAATATTAAATGTTCACACCAGTTAAACTGCACTTTCCCAAGGGGACAGCTGGCATCTACCTGAAATGGGCATCAAGAGACCACCAAATGTTTACAGTTTCTGTGGCCTATCTAAGTGTAAAATGCAGAAGTGACTCTGTCCCCCCAGAGTTGAGGATTTGCTACTCCGGTTCTCTGGAAGCATTTAAGTAGAAGAAAAGGTTTATAGTAAGAATCACTTTAGTAATCGTCTTCTGGTCCTTGGACTTTTCTGTTCTGTAATGCTTGTAACAATGAATATGGTGTTGCCAATCTAGTCTGATATCATCGTTGACTTGTACTTACTTTGTGGATGGTTCTATCTGGGGTTACACTGGCACAAACAGAGCCAGAACACTGGACTTTCAATAATACCATTTTGACTTCTACAATGTCCACACACATGAATTTAAATGCACTTGTAACTGGTTAATTACCATGAAGTAAGTCTAACTTCCACTTAATAAAAGTTTTTGTGTATCTGCTTCTATTTGGAGACCATTTATTTAAATTCAGGATAACTAATTTATACCAAGAAATGCTCATGGGGGCTTGGGGTTTTACCTAGAGTTGTAAAAATAGTTCAAAACCAAGGAGATGCTGTCATCATCAAGGCCATTTTTGGAAACATATGGAAGGCCTGTCTCCTCATATTCAGCCCTGCTAATGACAGTTTCAACCCATTCCCTTAGCAATGATTTTCCATATACGTCAGCTGCTGACCCTGTGCTGCTGACTCTGTTGTCCCAAGCAAGTAGACAACATGGCAACCAGAGGAAAAATAACCTATTTTGAAGCTAAGCCAGCCTGGAATTGTCATCCTCAGGCCTCAGGGTTCTCGAAGGTTGGTTTCTGCAAAGTTAAGTGCCCACATGTTTGCCAATGGAGGAGGGGTAGGCATTGCAACCTCCACAGACCATGCTCAGACTGTGCATGTGCCTGTCGCAAGCCCTCCGCTCCCAGGGTCCCAGAGGCTCTCCAGGTCTCAGTGACTGTGGGACACGGCTGAACCCTCAGGGGCAGGGCAGCAGAAAAAGGTATTAAGAATCTGGGCCATAGATGTTGTCCTGCAAAGTTGTGTGGAAAGCATACGTTTGCAAAATAAGTTTTTACTAAATACTAACTATACAAAGGGATGCTGTAGGAAACAGCTGATGACATAATGAACTGTTAGTGTAAAAATGTAAGCTACCTTCCTTTCAAAAAACACCCTGCAAGAATTTACATTTCCGAAGGGTGAAGACCACGTCCTACGTGTTGTACCCACCTGGTGGTGTACTCTACCAGGCATATAATAGATGATCAATTAATTTTTAATGAATGAATGAACAAATTGTTCAGATAGAGCATTTCTTCAGGCTTCAGATGTGCTTTCTGCCTTCAACCTACCACTGCCGGAACAAAGCAGAGGAAGGAAGTAAACATTTTAAAGACTTGGCAGAGACATTTATTTGAACTTTTTTTTAAAGTCCGCATTTTTAAAGTTTCTTTAAAATATATACATTCTCAAAATTGCTGACTCCAAATAACTACATTGATTACAAGCCAATACGGGACAAAGTGTGCAGTCACATGGTTACTGTTTTAAGTAGAAACGCCATGCACATGGCAAGAATTCAATAAACAAGTGAACAAAAATGAATGCTTCTAAAGGAAATAAATTATAACAGGTCTGTGCTATTACAAGCAAGCAGAGTAAATGGAATGAGACTACTAGGATTTGTGTCAGTAATAGGAGAGAGAATCTAGGCTGGCATTAAGGCATAATTGACACTTTTAGGAGGGGGATCTGGGTATTATAGTCATTGTATATTTGTTTGTATCTGTGTAATATGTGCACAGTAAAAAAAAAAAAAATCAGGGTAGGAAAAAGCTTAGAGTGAAAGCAGGTTCCTGCTGCTGTCCCCTTTTACCCTTTCGTTATGCTCCCAGAAGCAGCCACGTTCGACTTAACTGTTTCTTCTGGGACTTGATTCTATGTGTATCTTTTTATTTAATTATGTGCAAGTATGCCTGACAAACAACAGCCAACTCCAGCCAAGGCACCTACCGGTATCAAGAGCAGGAGGGACAGAGCACAGCACAAGGCTGGAAAGTGACACACAGGGACTGGCAAAGTGCCTGGCGCAGGGAAGTGCCCTGTGTTACGAGGGGCACCCCCTGTGCACGGTGGAAGCCTACTGCTCTGAACAACACAGGCATCTCCCTGGGCATTAAGATGCTGGCCTGTGGCTGATCCATGACTCTCTCACAAGTTTGCTGATTGTGGATTAATTCTCCAAAGCACAGTAAGCCTGAGCAACCTGAAAACAATCAAGTGTCCTCACCTCCAGATGAAACCTGCAAACTAGCCTCAGACCCCAGGCCAAAGCCTTCAGCCAGCCAGCTGGCTAGCGCATCTCTCACGATCTGCACAGCAATTCCTAGTTTGGGGTACATTCCTACTTTAGCTGATTTCACCGTAATGCCCAGATCATCCCAGAAAATCCTTTCATGTCAGATGTTGCAGAATGGCTCAGTGAAGGCAAAGTTGCTCACTGTTCACCTGGTGGCTACAGCCAGAGGTGCTGGAAACCAGCTACACCCATACTTTTTATGTGGTTGGCTGCAAGTAATAATCCCACTCAAAGCTGACTAAGCAAACACAAGTGGGGATTCACTGAAAGAACACATGGTGTTTCTGTGGGATCCCAGGTCAGATAATGTTGCCAGGCCACATAAAGGCCTGGAAGCAGGAGTGAGAAAGCCTTAGGTAAAAAGGCAACAACACTCTGCCCTTCCTGTCCCATCTGTCATCCAGTCTCCAGGGGGCAGTGGGATCAAGACTCCTCTCTTCTCTAGGGTCTCTTTCCTCCTCACTCTACATAGCTGCCTGTTTTCCTCCTCCAGCACATGGTGGAAAATGGCCAGCAGAGGCCTACATGACCTCCCAAGACATGCAGTCAAGAGGGGACTAGAATTTTAGAGCACCAATTTCAAACTCAATAGAGAATCTGATTGGCCTGGCAAGGGAGAGTCTGCTCCAACCAACCGGGCTGAGGTGAGAGTGTATTGTTTGGGCCACATGGAAGTTTCTCTAATATTACGTTTGTACCAATTTAATAATAAAGTGTGGGTGAAGGTGGGCAGATCACTTGAGCCCAGGAGTTTGAGACCAGCCTGGGCAACATGGTGAGACCCCATCTCTATAAAAAATATAAAAACTAGCCAGGCATAATAGCATGTGTCTATAGTCCCAGCTACTCAGGAGGCTGGCATGGGAGGATCACTTGAGCCAGGAAGGTTGAGGCTGCAGTGAGCTGTTTGTGCCACTGCACTTCAGCCTGGACAAGAGAGCAAGACATTGCCTTAAAAAAAAAAGTGTGAGGTTGGGAAGGAAATGATTGGTGGAAGAAATAATTTTACCATTTCTAGGACAGGATATAAAGGCCATTTTTCTTGCTAATAAATACAATAATAGGTTATTACACCCAGGAGGGGTCTGAAAGAACATCTAATTTAACTCTCATTTCACAGATGAGATTCATGACCCATGAATATCATTTGACATTTTAGTATTGTTTAATGCCAGTTTGTTTTCATAAGGTTTCATTGTTTACTTTTTTTCTGAAAGATAAGACTGTCTATGATCTAGGCCATTGAAAACCACCTATGAAAAACAATTTTTTTTTCCAAGATGGAGTCTTTCTCTGTTGCCTAGGCTGGAGTGCAGTGGTGCAATCTCCACTCACTGCAACCTCTGCCTCCTGGGTTCAAGCAATTCTCTTGCCTCAGCCTCCCAGAGTAGCAGGTATTATAGGCAAGCACCACCACACCCAGCTAATTGTTTGTGTTTTTAGTAGAAATGGGGTTTTACCATATTGGCCAGGCTGGTCTTGAACTCCTGACCTCATGATCCACCTGCCTCGGCCTCCCAAAGTGCTGAGATTACAGGCGTGAGCAACCGTGCCTGGTGAAAAAATTATTTTTAAAGTTAAAAAGGGGCCAGGCGTGTTGGCTCACACCTATAATCCCAGCACTTCGGGAAGCAGAAACAAGCAGATTACCTGAGGTCAGGAGTTGGAGACCAGCATAGGCAACGTGGCAAAACCCCATCTCTACCAAAAATACAAAAAGTGAGCCAGGTGTGGTGAGCGCCTGTGGTCACAGCTACCTGGAAGGCTAAGGGGCAAGAATCACTTGAGCCTGGGAGACAGAGGTGGCAGTGAGCTGAGATTGGCTACTGCACTCCAGCATGGGTGACAGAGTGAGGCCCTGTCTCAAAAATAAAGTTTAAAAAGGGTTGTCTTCTTATCTTAAACATAGCCATACCAAGCATAGAGGGTAGGAGAACTGGAGCCATACTGCCGAATTCAAATTCCAGTTTCACCATTTACTAGCTGTGTGACCATGGAGAAATTACTTAACCTCTCTATGCCTCAATTTCATGCTCCATAAAATGTGGATAATAATGTGAACTGTCTCATATGAGTATCATGAGTTCTAAATGAGTTAATACGTGTAAAGTGTTTAGTATGTTGCCCAGCACATATTGAGAGCCATGAAAGTATTTTTTTTTGCATTCCAAAGTATTTTTCTGAGTAATCAACAGTCTCATACTTTAAGTAGCTTGAGACAAATACATTAGTCCAAAAAAGCATCTTGAACCATTAGAACAGAAGCCATCAGTTAGCTGCAGTAAGCTAAAAGGACATATTTTTTTCTAACAAAGATTATTTTCTAATGTTTCCAATTTATAACTCTGTACTATAGAAGTACAGAAAAGTAGAAAGAAAATCAGATAACTACCACCCTCAAAAATAAGTGCTGGTAGATTGATACATTTTTCTCAAGCTATTTCCATGCATATTTATTTGCATAGTTGTGATCACACTGTATATAAAATTCAGCATGTTGCCTTTAGTCACTTAACATTATAGCATATGCAGCTTCCCATATCATTAAATATTTTCAAATGCCTCATTTCAATGGCTGTGTAATAGTACAGCATGTAGATTTCCTGAAATATTCTATTTGGAAAATGTATGTTGTTTCCAATTTTATACTCTTTTAAACTTTTACTACAGTTGCCAAATTACTATCCAAATGATTTGGCTCAATTTACTCTCCCAGCAGCAAACTGAATGAGTGTCTTTCTGTAGGCTCACCTGTAAGGAGTATTATCATTTTTTAAAATCTGTCCTAAGTTGATGAATATTAAAAGGCATGTCATCCTTGTTTTCATTTTTCCTGCCTTCCTTCCTCTCTCTCTTCCTTTTTCTTTCTCTTTCTTTCATCTTTCTTTCTTTTCTTTTGACAGAGTCTAGCTCTGTCGCCTTGACTGGATTGCAGTGGCACAATCATAGCTCACTGCTAACTTGAACTCCTAGGCTCAAGTGATCATCTTGCCTCAAACTTCCAAGTAGTTGGGACTACAGGCACATGCCACTGCAACCAGCTATGTTGTTTATGTTTCTGTAGGAATGGGGGTCTTACTGTGTTGCCCAGGCT